CTGGGGCTCGCACGGGGCCGGGGCCGCTGTTTGCCCTGGGGCTGGGGCTCGCACGGAGCCGGGGCCGCTGTTTGCTCTGCCCTGGGGCTGGGGCTCGCACGGGGCCGGGGCCGCTGTTTGCTCTGCCCTGGGGCTGGGGCCCGCACGGAGCCGGGGCCGGTGTTTGCTCTGCCCTGGGGCTGGGGCCCGCACGGGGCCGGGGCCGCTGTTTGCTCTGCCCTGGGGCCCGCACGGAGCCGGGGCCGGTGTTTGCTCTGCCCTGGGGCTCGCACGGAGCCGGGACCGCTGTTTGCTCTGGGGCTGGGGCTCGCACGGAGCCGGGGCCGCTGTTTGCTCCGTCCTGGGGCTGGGGCTCGCACGGGGCCGGGGCCGCTGTTTGCCCTGGGGCTGGGGCTCGCACGGAGCCGGGGCCGCTGTTTGCCCTGGGGCTGGGGCCCGCACGGGGCCGGGGCCGCTGTTTGCTCTGCCCTGGGGCTGGGGTCCGCACGGGGCCGGGGCCGCTGTTTGCTCCGTCCTGGGGCTGGGGCCCGCACGGGGCCGGGGCCGCTGTTTGCTCCGTCCCGGCGTTCGCCCGGTCCCCGCGGCGACCTTGGCGCCGGGCGCTGACCCGCCGGTCCTTCCCCGCCGCGGCCGGCGAACCGCCCCGCTCCGCGTCGTGCCGAGGTCACCGTTAGGCTCCTTCCATCTTGAGCGTGCGGACTGCCCCGAGGCCAGGGCTGGCCCGAAAGAGCTCCCTGGGCAATTGGGGTCGTTCTGCCCTCCCTCCTCCCGTTTGTCTGCAGTGCCGGCCCCGCGGAGAGGGCCGGGTGTCAGCCCCGCTGTGACCCAGTTCTGGCAGGCGCCTTTCCGACATCAAACATGGAGAATTCTTTACTTAGAGTAATGCAGAAATCCATCAAAACAGCAGACAGCTCGCTCCTGCTGAACCCAGGCTCTCCCAAGAAATCGCTGTGTTGTGACTTTTCCTGGGTAGCATTCCCGGCGTGGGCAGGCTGGCGCTCGGCAGAGTTTGAGATACACTCTCCCATGGGATGGAGTACTCGTCTCGTCTGACAGCTGCAGGTCTCTGTGTTTTCTGTGTTTTTACATACTGGAAATGTAGAAGTTAAGTAAAACTTAGTGGTTTTTTTTTTTTTTTTTTTTTTTTTTATTTTTTTTTTTTTTTTTTTTTTTTTTTTTTTTTTTTTTTTTTTTTTTTTTTAATTGTTCAGTGCTAGACATATGTGCTCACTTACAATGACAAATCTCTTTGTGTTGTTCTGGGACCTGCTAGGGACAGATAACCAGGTTTCTGCACTAATCGCCTTTCCTGGCAGAGTCCTGCTGGTGGTGTTGACCCCAACAAGTGTCTTCACAAATGTCTTTCCCAAGGGATGTGCAGCGCGTCCCATCGCCCGGAGCAGTGGGGATGGGTGACACAGTCACTGAAGGACCCTGCTGCCCGCTGTGGTGTTCCCTGGCTGATGCACACACTCCTGGTTTCCCTAGAGAGGAGTGTGTAAAGCTGTTGTTTGCCAGCTCGGTGTTGTGTCTGCTCACACCTCGGCAGAGCCAGGGCGGACTCATCTGCGGAGATTAGGGATCCAGGCTGTGCCAGAGGATTTGCACTGCTAAAGACAAGCACATAATGGAGGCCTGTGGAGCCACTGGTTAAACTGGAATGAGAGGCAGATTCTCACATGTAAATGTATTTACTTTTGTGCAGCTGTTTAGAAATTGCTTCTTGTCCTCTGCCAGAACCCAGGTGTTCCCGTTGCGAAGTGTGGTACCACTGAACTGGCTGCTAATGCTTGTGCTGCTTCAAAACCCTGCAAGCTGTGGAGATGCAGTTGAGATTTAGATAAAGAGAGGATGAGAGAGTGGGAGAGTTTCTGCAGCATTGAATGTGCCAATTTCTCCCCCATATTTTGAAACTTATTGTGTGTGGGAATGTACAATAATGAATGTACCATGTGCCAAGGAAGAGAGACTGATAGTGAAGTGGTAACTGCAAGGGCTAGAGTGAATACAGGACTCAGTGGAGGTAGCCTGGAGAAATTCAAAACGAGCTCATTTAATCCTTTAAATTATTGGATAATGAGTCAGTGGAGGAATTTTTAAAGCTTGATGGTTTTGGGTGATGGGGTAATGCATTAATGGAATTGGTTATATAGGTAGGTGGTTCCTGTACTGGTAAGTTGATTGTCCAAGCATGCCAGGGATATGTAACTCTCACTCTGGGATGGGTTCCTGATGTATCCATGTGTATGTAGGAGCAGCACTGAGGTGTGGGCACTGTGGAACCTGCACAGTATTTGTAGGATTCCTCAATTGTCTGTAATTTCAGGAAAAAAGGTGAGAGTTAGTGACCATGATCTGAGCACAACAGAACTCGATACCCCAGTTTATCTGTGTGTTTCCTCTCCTCTCCCAGCCCTTCCTCAGCCGTGCAGGTGGGATGTGGGAAGGTGGGAATGTGGGCTGTGCTCCATCAGCAGCCTCTTTCTTCCCTGCAAACTCCCAGCCCGTGTCTGTTCACCATCGTGGACAGTGTGCAAGGGCTGTGCACTCATTTATTTTCCAAAGCCAACTTCCTAGCCCATGGCTTTGTTCAGGCACGAGATAATCTGATAAAAAGTAGCCTGCAAAAAGTGATGTCCGCTCACGTACTGAGGAAGTGCAGCCCCGTGCAAAATAAAACTGAAACTCTGGAGAAGGGATTTCAGCCTCCCCCACCCCTTCCATGGGGAGCAGGGCAGGGACAGGCTCAGGCTGCTGGATTTGGATCCTCCTCTGCAGGCCAGGTGCTTGTGGAGGTGGGAATGGAGAGGTTTGGGAAGAAGGACAGAGAGTTGCAGCCCACCCTGGTACTGTTATTCCGGGCACTGCTGTGTCCCAAAAAGGGACATTGAGAGGCTGTTGTCATTTCAGTCTGCCTTTGGGAAAGTTATACAGGGATGTTGTTGGGATTAGTGGACTTAAAGCCTTTCCAGCATAACCCTGGATTGAGAGTTCAGTTGGCAGAACTGTATTTCATCCTTGGAATAGAAATTACCTTCCATTCTGGAAAAAATAGCCCAGCTTTAACAGGTTTATTTACACTCTGTGTTTTCCAGGCATGCTTTGCACTTGAAGCGTTCAAAAATACATGTGAGGTGTATGAGTAATGTAAACCCACCTAGGAAATGGTGGGAGTGTTAAATAATGAAGATGTATTCCTTTTTAAGTATTGTGTCTTCCTGTTCCACTTGTTGAAGGTTTACATGGATCATGAATCATTCCATAAAGGGAGGTGTCGATGGGAAAAATAAGGAAGAAAGATTTTTTTGTTTGTTTGTTTTTTGTTCTGTGAAAATTGTAGAAGAAATACATTGCTGGAAATAGAATGGTAATAGAGTTGAAATCCATGAAGGGCTACAATGCTTCTTTAATATCTGGGGAGGCTGGAGTGGAACAGGGAGGCAGATACCAGTTCCTGCCTTGTGTGTACCTTAAGATTGTGTTTAATTTTTCAGCTGAAATGGGCACACATCTTGAAACAAAAAATGAGAACATCCCAAATCTTTTCATGTAAGCAGTTAGAATCAGAAATGTCAGTGACTGTTTCCTCAGTGAGGTCCTTGCAGTGTGCAAAATGTGCTGGCTAAAGATAAGAATGGTAAGAAAAGTTGCAGGGTAGGTTGTTTGCATATTTATTTATGTATTTTGTTCTGTTTGTAAGCAGAATAGGAAATGCCATTGACATAAACCCAGTAAATTTAGAAAAATTGCAGTGAAATTGTTTGTGCAGCCTCTGCCCTGTGTCCAGTCTCAGCTGTGCTCAGGTGACCAAAATCTGGTTATTTTCCTCTGAAACATCCACCTCTGTAGGCAACAGTACCCATCAGGTAAGTTTGCAAGGGTTTAGTGATTCTGTGTGAAAAAGTTATTATAGAATGTAAATACATTCTGTCCCTAAAAATCAAAGGATGTGGGAAAGGCAGGAAAGCAGCAGCAGTCCAGGGTCATCTCACAGCTTGTGTAGCAGGAGAAAATAGCTTTGCATGCAAACTTTTAAATACAGTATTATCTCAGGCACCAGGATGGTGTTGAGCTCTGAGTTGGGCTTTTTTAGTAACTTTGCTCTCATGACTAAAATTCAGTGGGGCTCAGTAACCCCACTGGGAAGCAGCTGTAGGAACAATCCCCAAGGGCTTTGGGTTGTTAAGTGCTCCCAGGAGATGAGCAACCTTTTTCTGTGGGTTTGGCATCATGACTTAGAAGTAACCATACAGAAAGCAAGGATCAAAAGTTCTGTGTTTGTGTGTGAATTCTGATCCTTTGTCATAGGGACAAGTGAGCAAAATTCAGTATCAAGGGCTATCCAGTCATTCTGTTCCTGCCTGTTGTGAAATATCCAAATTTGATCTATGCTGGCACAATGGGATTTTTTTTTTCTATGGAAGATACTTAACCTTCTTCATATGACCATTTAAAAAATGTGATATTTTAAAATGTTTAGAAGTCTTATCAAAATACCCTAATGTCCAGAAGAATATTAATCTGATTCTAAATATTATGAGAAGGCCTTATGCTTTAAGTGTGGGAAATTTAATTACAGCTATCCCAGATTAAAACCTATTTTTTCCATATTAAGACCTCGATCTCTCAAGTCTAAGGCCAGTGTGTGGCACAGGTTTGTGCTGGCCCAAGTGCTTGTTTCCAGTCTGTCCAGACCAGTCTAACTCCCTGTTTGAACAGAAATGAGGGAATTAGACCAGCTTGTTTCCCAGGATTGAGGAGCATTTCTGTGGTGTCATGCCTTGGCTGCAGTGAGTCAGAGGACAACACCCTCATGAGCACAGGTTGTATTTTATGGACATAAAATTGGTTTTGGTTTGTGGTTTTGCCTTTTGGTGGCTCACGGGGTTGTTGCCATCGCCCCCCTCAGCTGGATGCTGCTGCTCTGAGTGTGCTCACTGGGTGCCAGGGAGCTGCTCCAGCTGGGGAGAAACAGCTGGGCTTGGGGAGTGGGGCCACAGTTTTCAGTCCTTTGTTAAAAGGGAGGAGTGCCTCAGAATCCCAAAGTCACTCGGTTTGGAAAAATCGAGTCCAAGTTGTGCCCCATGCCCACCTTGTCCCCAGCCCAGAGCACTGAGTGCCACCTCCAGGTGCCACCTCCAAGGATGGGCACTCCAAACGCCCCTGGGCAGCCCCTGCCAAGGCCTGAGCCCCCTTTCCATGGGGAAATTCTCGGGTTGGCACCGTAGGGAGGTCAGTCCCAGGGCTGGGCTCTGCTCAGGGCTCGGGCAGCAGCGTCAGCATCTCCCCAGGGAGGGGTGGCTTGGCACGGGTGCCAGATGTGCCACCTGAGAGGTGCCCAACACACCTGTGCCAGTGAGGGGCTGGGCCAGACACTCAGAGCTGTCACTGCTCCGGGGAAATGGAAGAGAAAACGGGAGAAAACAGTTATTTGCTCATCAGGGAGAGAGCTGCAGGGTGTGGGTTGGCTTGTCTGCTAGCTTATCATTATTCCTGCTGATTAATAAGCTGATATTAAGTTACAGGAATTTGCAACAACATCGAGCAAAAGTCAGGATTTTAAATCAGGGTGTGTTTAATTAAGAAAAGTGAAAGTCAGTAAAAATAACTCTGCTTTTCAGAGTTGGCAGTGACTTTAATTTACTTCCAAAAGGCTGAAGATATGTAATGATATGTGATCTATTGCTAAGGCCAAGCTTGTAGTAATGTTGGTTTAATGTAGTGTTGCTGATTTAGTGTAAAGAATATTTACATGTGCAGCCTCAGAACTTGGCAAAGGGGAGTTAAAAAATAAAGACTCAAAACTATGAGAGCAGCCCATATGCTGAGTTTAGAAAATTTGGAAGAATTAACCAATATATTTATTGGAAATGCTTTCTTCAAAGTTTACATGGAAATATTTCCAAACAGCTTGGAAGATTTTAACTTTTATGTTGCCGTGCTGTATATTTATATGGGACAGGTCTCGGTCAGGGCAAGTGGCAACCAGAGGTGATGTCCTGCTCATTGCCAGCCTTCTGATGCTGGTTCTTTTTTTGAAAATAAATATCCTTGGGTGTTCTGTCAGTTAACTTTCTGTTGTTTTAGCAGTCTGGTGAAAAAAATCCCAGCCAAGCTGTTTCAGTAACTACATGCATGGCTGTAAAGCCTGTCTTATTTTTCTATGCCACGAAATCCAGAACCTTGCCTGAAAAGCTAAAATCCATCAGTGAATCTAGGAAAGAATTATCCCAGGGCCTCAGCAGAGCAGCCTGGAGTCAGACAGTGCTTTGAACTGGGCTCTCTGGGTTCTGCAGGCTCGGGGGATGCTCTGGGAGCGGGTCTGTACCTGGAGCTGCGCAGGGCAGGTGGAGCGGGGCCAGGCCGGGGCAGCAGTGCAGCCCTGCGAGGCCTGATGAGTCACTCTTCCTGTCACATGAACCCTCCCTGCTCTGCTAATAGGCACTTAGTTGATTTTAGATGCCTGGAATCATTAAAAAGGCTGGAAGGCATTTGTGTACCTTGTCCATTAGAAGAAAAATATGTTTTCTATAACTGTAACCTCCTACAGCCTCCAGCTCAACTTCAGAAAGTAGCTGCATTTTTTGTGCCATTATCCATTACCTGAACTGGGATGTTTGAAGGCAGCAGTGAATTCAGCTGCTTTCTCCCACATTACATTGGTGGAAGAATATGTATTTCTTTTTACTATTGAAAGAAGGACCAGTGGTAGGAGTTAATATTCCACTCAATATCTGTGTCCTCTTTGTTTCATTTCTTCCAGTGTTGTCACACGTGGTGCTTTCCTCCCTGCTCCCTCCTGGCTGTGCTCTCAGGCTGTAGCTGCCTTCTTTCTTACAGGCATGAGGGGTTGAATTTCTGCCACCCCCTCACCTGGAGAACAGGTAGCAAAGGGCACGTGGAATGCAGAGTGTCCCAGCTGTGACAGAGCCTTTCCTCCTGCTGATAGACCAGGTCCTGCACAGGCAGAGGGAGAAAAGAAGTGCTGAATTTTTGTGGATAGACTGACAATAAGCATGGTGGAGCATTTTCTGAGAATTCATAAACTACAGAGCTGGGAGAATCATGGAGTCACAGGGTAGTTTGGGTTGGGATGACCTTAATTTTTTAAATATTTTTTTGCCCCTGTCATGCCCAGGGATCCAGGGTCAGCCTCTCTAGGCAGAGATTGAATCAAGCAGTTTGGCTCTGTGTTTTCCTGTCCCTTTCATTGCCCCTCTTCCTCTGTGCAGGGTGGCTTGGGATTTCTGGAGTAATGTTGTCTTTTTATAAAAAAAATAAAGCATATCCTAATAGGCAATTGCTTCTCAAGTTAGTTTGCATTTACTTCTAATGCTGAGCTCCGTGGGGTTTATAAAATGAGGCGTTTTTGTTCCTTGGAAAGGCTTTGAGAAGATGAAGGTGTGGTGGGAGTTGCTGCAGCTCCTCCTGTCCCTGCTCGGTGCCCTGGAGCTCAGTAAAGCTGCAGGTGAGGCAGGTCCTGCCACCTCCAGCCCCAGGGCCTCACACCCTGGGGCTGTTTGCTCTGCTCACATCTGGCCAGGTCCTGCTGACAGCTGTGCTGGGAGCTGCTCCCGGGAACACGGATTAAATTTTCATCCGGATCACCCATTTCTCCTTCTTCAAGGAGATGGTTCAGCATTGTCATGTGAGGACTGCTTATTCAGAAAGCTTGGGGCTGACCCAAGCACTCTTTTTTCCCCACCTATTCTGTTCAGAAAATGTTCCTGGGCAGCAGAGTGAGCTTCAGCTGACATGGAACTGGAGTGCAGGATGGTGGTGCTCTGCTGTTTTACTGCACCTGGACTGGCAGAAAGTGCTCCTGATTTTGTTCTGGTGCTTTCCAGTGTAATTTCCTCCCTTTTCTCCCTCTCAGCTGACCCCTTGGACATGCCAGCAGAACCACTTGTCATCTGCTAAGCACAGTCAGGACTTTCACAGAGGATGTGGATGCAGTGTGATCTGGAGCAGACTATAGATTATTGACTTTCACTGGCACAGAGCAGCTGTGGCTGTCCCTGGATCCCTGGCAGTGCCCAGGGCCAGGTTGGATACTGGGGCATGGAGGAGCCAGGGACAGTGAGAGATTCCCCATGGCAGAGGGTAGAATGAGATGGCCCAACCCAAACCATTCTGTGATCTCTGATGTTAAGCAGCAAAGGAATAAAACTCCAAAGCACCGAACACTTGGATATCCAAGATCTGCATTTAGAAGAGTGAGCTGATTTATTTTCTCCTGATACAAATAAGATAAGAACATCCCCCTACGCCCCCATCCCTGTGTTAAACACTCAAGGAGAATGGCAGCATGTCTCTCCAAAGAAAAGAAAGCAAAATATCCTGGATGGCTTCAGGAGCAAATGTGTGGGATTGCAGGAGGGAGAGCTGGAGGAGACATTGGTGGTGATCTCAAACGAGGGCAGTGCCTCCTGCTCACCCCAGTGCTTCAGTCTGGAGGTGCTTGATTGAGGTGAGTTATTCTGCAGAAAACCTCAGTGCCTGTGCTGCTGAGGTGATGGGAAATGGAAGGAAGGAGAACGTGAGATGGCAGCTGTAACCTCCTTTCTGGCCTGGCACTGCTGCTCCCTGATCAAAGCTGCCATGGCACACCTGCCTCGTGTGGATGATGCTGGATCTGTGATAGCTCCTGGTTATTTATACAGAGCCTGTGGGAAGCACAGTGCACAAAATAAACCCGCTCCTTTTCAGTCATGCAGTGTGAAAGGTTGAAGGGAAATGGCAACATTTATACTTCTGTGCATCATTATGTAATGTATCCGTGGAAAATGTATCCATCCTTCCTTAGCAAAGCCACAGGCAGCAATGGAGCCTTTTGTTGGGTAGCTCTCTGTATTTCTTTGACTAAAAACAGATGCAATGCAGCTTCCAAGCAGTGTGAGCTGAGGAAGTGCCAGGGAAATGGAAAGGTACCGCAAAGCTGTGTGCTGTGCTTTGCTGGAGTCCAGGTGTGTGAGGAGAGGATTTAAAAACAACATTAAAGCAGGGATGAAAGATTGATCATTTCAAGTGGGAATGCTTCGGAGGGAGGCTGGGCAGCTGCTCTGCGTCCCGCGGTGCTGCAGAGCAGTGTCCTTCCAGAAGAGTGTGTTGTGTGCACACAGCAAGCTGCAGGGGTGGTGTCAGAGCCCCGAGGAGCCCCCTGACCCCGGGGTGTGGTTCTGTTCAGCTGCAGAATGAAGAGGAGCCGGGCGAGGCCGTGCCGGTGGTGAACGACGCCCCGCCGCCCTACAGCAGCATCTCTGCAGAGAGCACAGGTACTGTCACCTGGGCAGAGGGCTGGCATTGCTCCGCTGCCACCGACTGCTCTCCTCATCCACAGCTGGCTCTGCAGCACCTTCCCAAGCTGCAAGGGTCGGGATTGATCCACACAGCCTGTCGCTGCTTGTGGTTTAGGAGATGCAATTTGGCTGCACTCATCTGATGTCATCCCATCAAGGGGTGTTCAAGTTACAGTTCACAGTGTTCTCAGTAAATTGAAGACAGTTAAAAATCAAAGTGCTGGGAGGATTTGTGGTTCCCTTCTCATTATCTGGCATTTGGATGATGCTGTGCCCCTTCCTTAAAGGATTTGTTACTTAAAAGGGTTTAAAGAATTCACTTTTCCTGCACTTTCCAATAACTAAGCACTTGGCCATAAGGATGGGACTTTGAATCATCCTCCTGTCCTGTCACTAATAACTTTAATAACCACTTGGATCTGGAAACGTGACTGTTTCTGAGTATCCAAGTCAGCAGAGGCACAGCATGTGGTGTTGGTTTAAGCAGAAGCACAGCCAGACATGTTCACTGAGTGTTCTCTGGATTGCTGGCTGTCAGAGAAGGTGCTCCTGTGCTTTTCCCTTTCTGCTTTGGGATGGCAGCAGGCTGGGGTGGGCAGAAGGGTGGGGAGGGGACAGACAGCCTGGGGAATGGGGCTCATTGGGAGTCACCTGGAGCACTGCTCGTTCCCAGCACGGAGTGGTGAGGAAGTGCTGAGTTCCCTCCCGTGTCACTGTTTTTGTGCAGCTTACTTTGACTACAAGGATGAGTCAGGCTTCCCGAAGCCACCGTCCTACAACGTGGCCACCACCCTGCCCAGCTACGACGAGGCCGAGAGGAGCAAGGCCGAGGCCACCATTCCCTTGGTTCCTGGCAGGGTGAGTGTCCTGCCTGTCCCTGCACTGCTGGGGGCAGCTCAGCTTCAACTCCTGCCCGTCATGTGGCATGACTTTTAACACTCGTGTTGGTTTTTTTTGTGTTTTTTGAAGCTTTCTGGGGTGGTGATATTCCACACTTCTGAGAGTCCTGTGGCTGTTTTTTTTTCCCTGTGAGCGCTGTGATGATGTCAGACATCTCAGTGATGCCAGCATGTGCTAGCCAGATTAGCTTGGCAAGCTGACAGAGGGACTGTGCTGTATCCCTGTGCACTGACACTGGGGTTTTTGTTGGTTTTTTTTCATTTTTAAAAAAGATTTAGGATTAATTCTTCAGCTGTCTGGCATATCTACCCTTGATACTCCTGCTGCTTACTCAGTTGACTTTTCTGGAGGTCATTGTAGCTGATACAAGGATGATAAAACCATTCTATCAGAATTATATTTTTCTGTTTTTTCAATATTATCTCTTGTTCAGCCATTCCCTCCACCCCTGCTAGCATGAGAAATCCACTGCTCATTACACTTCTTCACAGAAGCCAAATTCCTTGCTGAGATGATAATTTTTTGATGAGTTGAAGAATTCTTCACGGTGAGAACAAGAACATGCTGGATCTCAACTGTATTAAAAATAAAGATACATTTCCTATTATATAGATAACATTTAATATCCTGCACCATTTCAGGATGAGAAACAAGAATTTTCTCATGCTTGCATTGTAGCCTTTTGAGATTTAGGATTCCAGCCCTTGTTTTGAAGAGTCCCACCCAGAAGTAGGGTTGCTGTGTAGACTGGACTGATCTAAATCCCCCTTGTGCTGCCTCCCTCTGCATTGCAGGATGATGACTTTGTGACACGGGATGACTTTGATGACACTGACCAGCTGAGGATAGGAAATGATGGCATTTTCATGCTGACTTTCTTCAGTAAGTACCTGATGGAATGAACTTTTTTCCAAGCAGTGACCCAGAATAGTTAGGGTCACATTTATGTTTATGTAGCACCAGGAAAAACATGTGTGCAAGGGGTTTATGTTTTTTTTCCTTGGAATATAAAGGTGTCTTGACCTGCTGCTTTTCTTCTGCTTTCTCAGTGGCATTCCTCTTCAACTGGATTGGATTTTTCCTGTCTTTCTGTCTGACTACTTCAGCTGCAGGACGATATGGGGCCATTTCTGGCTTTGGTCTCTCTCTTATTAAGTGGATCCTTATTGTCAGGGTGAGTTGTGTGCTGCAAAACCACGTACAGACACTGATACTCTTTTTTTCCTCAGCAGATTTTTATCTTATACTGAAGTTAGTGATAAATTTAGCTGTTTTTTTTTTTTTTAATAATGAAATAATTTTTGAACTACTTGTTCAGTATGAACATGTGAGTTTGTGGGTTTTAAGTTGGGTAACTCTTTGGGGGCTCTCCTGGTAGGAGAGAGTTTCTAGTTTACTTTAAAACTTAAGTTTTTTTTCTATAGATAAAAATTAAAGTTAGTGTTTTTTTAAAAATCAGAACACCCCAAAACAAACAAAAAATTTTTTTTTACTCTTAAGTTCTCACAAGAACAGAGCTTTTTCATACTTGTATTCTGTTTATATGCTGGAATTACAATTGTAGTAAAAGAAAAGAAAGATTGCACACCCAGATATGCTTTGGGGATGCTCCATCCCTGGAAGTGTCCACGTTTAAGCTGGACAGGGATTCCTGGGATAGTGGAAGGTGTCCTTGTCTGTGGCAGAAGAGAGGAGCTGTAGGATCCAGCCCAGCCCATTCTGGGATTCTTTCTGTGTCTGCCAGAGGCACTGGGCTGCTCAGAGTGTGGTTTGTGCTGAGCAGCAGCACCCCTCTGATCCTGGGAAAACATCAGCCCTGCCTTCGGCCTCTGCAGCCTGCTGTGCCCTAGGCTCTCTGCAAAGAAGGAGATCTCTGAAATGCTGGTGAGGAGAGGGAAGAGGGCCGTGGCAGGAGTGAGCCTTGGAGCAGCAGTGGGAGAAGGCCGTGGCTGCCCTCTGCTGCAGCCTCCCCGCGGCACAGGAGCAGGCACCAGGAGCAAGCTGCCATCCTGCTCCGGGCTTTTTGCTCTTATGTTTTTTGAGGGATTGGGAGAGAGTATTTCCATCAGGAAATCTTTATTTGGAGCCTGTGAAATGATGGCATTCCGGGCTGAAAGTTGACTGTCAAGCAAAGCAGCTTGCTGGCTGTAAGTAGAAGTACGAGCGTTCATGTCAGAGCTGTCACTTCCTACCCTGTCTTTTGGGGCTGGGAGTTCTAATTTGTAAATACAGCATCTCTTCACTTTTCTGTAGGCAATTTTTATGGTCATCTTGGTACAGAGGTGTTAAGGACTCTTTGCTGGATTAAGAGGTGTGACAGAAGGAGGTGACATTAACTTTGGATTTGATTTTAATGTCAGTAACTAACTTACCTTTTGTTAGGTTTTTAAACTTGAATAGAACAAACCCAGAGGAATGATACTGTATTTATACTGAAACTGTGAACTTCAGTGCTCTCACAGTGTTGGTACCTTTAATTTCCCAATTGGGAGTCCTGTCAGTGGATTCCACAAATGTGGGATTTCTTTCCCAGCTGTTACACCATCCAACCTGACAGTGTAATGAATGTGCTGTGCTGCTGCAAGCCTGCTCTGCCCTTTCAGAACCTGTATTTGTGCTTTCTAAGCATCCAGGACACAATTTAAAACTGGAATATTTGCCCAGTGTCCTTATGCCTCACTGATTGCCAGAGTTCATAGCTGGGTGTTGAATCTGTCCCATTCCCCTTGTTGGAGCTGGTGCAGAAAAACCATAAATAACAGTTTGTGGAGGTAACTCATTCCTGCAGCTGGTGAAATGCAGCATTGCATGAGTTCTCTTGTGTGCAGCCCTGATCTGGTTACTGCTAAAATTGGTGGGGATAGATGTTGGTTCACAAACTTCCATGTGCTCTAAACTGTATTTTTTGGCTGTTTTTCAGTTCTCCACCTATTTTCCTGGTTACTTCGATGGCCAGTACTGGCTTTGGTGGGTCTTCCTTGTACTAGGTGAGTGCTGTGGGGGGAAAGATGCTTAAAAACTCTGTAAAGTCAGTTAGGATTTTGTGAGCATACCTGGCTGTTAAATATGTGTGTGTAGATGTCCAGATGAAATGTGAGCCTCATGCTCCACTGGCTGAACACATTCAGGTTTTAAAGGCACGTGTAAACACTGTCCTTCTGTTGCCAGTTCTTTGTGGCAGCATCCTGACATCATCCAGAAGTTAAGAAGAGAATAATGCTTGTAACTGATGTTTTGTCTGTTCTTGCATCTTAAATGGAAGAGTGGATTGTTGCCTTCCTCGTTTTATTTTCTCTTTCCTGCTTTGAGAGTCACTGGATCTTGTTTGGAGTCCAAGGTTTTGTGGTTGCCCAAGGAAAGTTTGTTTCTGAAGTTACCTGAAATGGAAAGATGAGGTGTTACTGCTACCAAAAATAATTACTGTGTGATCAGCTGCCGTGCATCCCAGTGATGAGGTTCCTCTGTGGTGGTGACAGGGGTTCAGCTGCTCCCTCTCCTTGAAGAAGCAACACCTGTGTTAACTGGACAAATGTGTCTCTCCCCTGCAGGTTTTCTGCTGTTTCTCAGAGGATTTATTAATTATGCAAAGGTTAGGAAGATGCCAGATACGTTTTCCACTCTTCCCAGGACCAGAGTTCTCTTTATTTACTAAAGGTAAATTTTCTGCTTTCCTGAATTTGTTCTGCTTTGATTTTAACTGTATTTAATAACTTTTCTGGGCTACACTTTCCATTGTTGAATATTTTTACAACTCAAGGAAGCAGGGAACAGTTATTTCTTGGTACTCCCTACCCAGCTTCTGAGTCTGCAGAGCCCAGACTGGCTGATGGGAGGCAGAGAAACACTGGACATTTCTCCCTGAGGTTTTGCTGTGAGGGAATGGATATTCATTTGATTCCCTGACTAAATACTGTGAGAACAAAACCCCTGCCCCTTGGTTCTGCAGTGGATTTGGCAAATGTGTCTTTGAGAATAAATCACATGCCTGAAACACGCGGTGTGTCCCAAACCCAAGGAGAGGTCACAAAATGTTGTTAGAGGGGCGTGCCACTGCCTTTGGCTTTTGTCCCAGAACGAGCAATTTGTCTGAATTCTGCTGTTTGAAACTGCTGCCAGGCTCCTGAAGAAGTGACAGCCTTGCACACCTTTGCTCTCCTCACACCCTCCCACACGCCTGAGCTGTCCTGCCTGAACATCTTACAAACACCTGAGTGCCTGGGAGTCTTTTGCTTCAGTGCTGAGCCTCAGCCTGGCTGCCTTAATGGGGCTTTAAAGGAGGAGGCTTAAGTAGCTGAAGCCTTGTAGCATAATTTCCTGCTCACAGCAGATAATGGCCTGGCATTAACTGTCCCTCCCCGAGGGGAAGGAAATCCTGGAATAGGTTGCTTCCCAGCTGGGGAATGCAACATGATGCTCCCTTTAGAAATATCATAATAACACTCCATTTCCCCAGAGAGGCAATTGCAGCTGGGACAGTCAAAGAAACCAAACCAACCCCAGCTTTAAATTGGGGGTCATTAAATTGTTGAGATTTGAAAACCGAGCCTTGGGTTTCCAAATGCACTTCCCTTTTATTAGAAACTGCAAATTGCCCATGATTCTACTTCATTTCCAGGCTGTGAGGAGAACCTGCAGCACAGAACAGCCTTTGTGCACTGCTTTCCTCTGGTGATAGTGTGTAAAAATAGTTCAGCCAATTTCTTCACGTGTTTCAGTTCTGTTTAACAAAGTTCTGGTTTGTGACCTCCTCAGGATCTGTAATGTCCTCCCAGACTCCTGCTGAGTCACCAGAGGGTTGATTTCCCCCCCGGTTTATGGTCACGGAATGTGAGCATTTAAAGTCAGCTTTATCTCTGTATTTTGTCTGACTGAACAATTTTTTAAAAAATTTTGCTCCTTTATCCAAACTTTATTTTTTTATTTCCTAAATGAACTCTGTGGTTTCTTTTTGCATAGACTTCTCCTATGTTTGAAATTACAGTTTTAGAGACCTGGCTTCATTCTTTGCTTGTGTGGAGGTGTGGAGTGTTTAAATTCTTATTTATGTGTCATTTTAGAACATTTTCAAAAAGCACTTTCAGATATGCTGAGATAAATGTCCAGAATAATTCATAAATATTTCAACTGTGATACTTCACCTGAAAATAAATCTTTAATCCTGAATTCTGAGTGAAAAAAAAAAAAACCACAAAAAACTTGGATTTTTAGTGTATTACTCTTCTTAGATTAGATTTCCTCTTCAGGGCGTGATGCAAAGGGCACAGTGAGAGATTAGTTTTATTTCAGAGCAGGGATAATTTTTAGAAAATTAGGAGGGCAATAATGAGTGCAAACCAGAAAATACAACCTGGTGAAATGAATCTGGTGAAAAGCTGGAGTTCAGTATTCCAGCTGTGAGTGCAGTAATGGACACAATCCTGGTGTTATCCCATAAAATACGCACAGATTCCTGAGAATTTTGCTGGAGTCACATCATTGTGTGCTGAGACACTTCATAAGCCCCTAGACATCCTGTGCTGTGTGAACAACATCCTCCTGTTATCCAAAATAACCCTCTGACTGCAGTGTCGGTGTTCAATATCCTTCTCCAACAGATGTTTTCTGGCAAATGTCTTCCTGCATTAGTGAAATCCCCCCCAAGAAGCAGCAGGACACCTGCAGGAAGTGAATCAAGGCTCTGGAGCAGAAGAAAAAATAATCACCTGCTTTAAAATAAATAAATAAAAGTACTGTTGGAAAAAGTAAAAAAAAAAGGAGAAGCATTTATTTTGATTTGTTTTTAGGTGTAAAATTTTAATAATTAACGCAGAATTCTGTAATTGTTGACTCATTAGTGGCTAATGTGTGAAGCAGCTCTTGCAGTGAGTGCTGATGGAGCTGTTCAGCCGAGTTTGTGGTGTTTGGGCAGCAGGAGCCGTCCCGGGGCCAGCAGGGGCCAGGCTTGCTTTAGTTCCTCCTCCAGCCTGGGAGCTGCCCTGCTCTGCCTGTGCTGGGCTGAGTGTGACACCCTGTGCAGTGACACCCTGTGCAGTGTGTGTGACACCCTGTGCAGAGTGTGACACCCTGCACAGTCTGTGACACCCCGTCCTGGACAGTGTGTGACACCCTGTCCTGCACAGTCTGTGACACCCCGTCCTGGACAGTGTGTGCTCTGTGTCCTGTACAGTCTGTGACACCCCATCCTGGACAGTCTGTGCTCTGTGTCCTGCACAGCCCATGTAAGCCCATGTCCTGTACAGTCCCCATGTGCCACATCCTGTCCAGCCTGTGTGCATCGTGTCCTGTACAACCCATGGACCTCCATGTACTCCGTGTGCTGTCCATCCTGTGTGCTTCATGTACTCCGTGTGCTGTCCATCCTGTGTGCTTCATGTACTCCATGTGCTGTCCATCCTGTGTGCTTCATGTACTCCGTGTCCCATCCATCCTGTGTGCTCCATGTACTCCGTGTCCCATCCATCCTGTGTGCTCCATGTACTCCGTGTCCTGTCTATCCTGTGTGCTCCATGTGCTCCGTGTCCCATCCATCCTGTGTGCTCCATGTACTCTGTGTCCTGTCCACCCCTGTACTCTGTATCCTGTCCCTGTTCATCCCTGTCTCCCTGTCCTCCATGTCCTGTCCATCCCTGTCCCCATGTCCTGCTGTCCATCCCAGTCCATCCCTGTCCCC